CTTTCCTTTCCCCTTTCCTTTCCCCTTTCCCCTTTCCTTTCCTTTCCTTTCCTTTCCTTTCCTTTCCTTTCCCCTTTCCCCTTTCCCCTTTCCCCTTTCCCCTTTCCCCTTTCCCCTTTCCCCTTTCCCCTTTCCCCTTTCCCCTTTCCTTTCGCAAGTTAGGAAAGATTCTTCTAAAAGCAGCAGGCATAAAGGAATAGAGATGAGGGCTGGAGGCCAGGTGGCCAGCTAATGGGCCTACGGTTGGTAATTTTTAGGAATAATCTGGAAATGAGAACCTGAGTAAGGGAGAGAGGCCTGGGATGAGGTAAAGGTTTATCATAGACTCCAACCGTGGGTGGGAGGAGGCAGCCGTGCCTAGGCTCCTGGCTCAGGCGGCAGGATGAGTGGCCCTTCACCAAGATTAGCTGTGTTTGGGTCACATAAGGCTTTTCATGGCAGCTCAGCGCAGGGGTTTAAAGTGCTAATGGACCCTTCGTGATTGCGTATACTGATGTTTGCCTGTTTGCCAGATACAGCGTTAGACATTTCTCTTCTCTGATACTAAGTTTTGTTTTGCTTGTTGTAGGAAACCATGGCTAAGGGACTGAAGGAGGGCCAGTTAAGCAAACAGAAGTGTTCCTGTGCGTTTCAGAGCCTCCTGCCCCTCTACAGCCCTGTGGTGAGTACAGTGAGTGTACAGGCGGCTGATTCCACTGGCAGGACTTAATGTATTGCAGGCCTTAATGCCTGTGGGAAGGATGGCTGCTGCCTGGCTCATTGCTGCTGGCCTGTATGTAATCTCAAGAGGAAGGAATTGACATGGGTTTAGAGTGTCGATCCCCTCCTTTGTGCAGTAACCGAGAGCTTAGTTTTTGGAGATTTTGTTTTGTGTGTGTGAGTGTCTGTCTGTGCACCATGTCTGCGCAGCTGCCTGCACACAGCAGGAAGGGATTAGATCCCCGTGACTGGGTGTTGGGATGCTCACAACTAGACGGTTGTGAGCTGCCATATGGATGCTGGGAATTAAACTCTGGTCCTCTAGAAGAGCAGCCAGTGCTTTTAACTGATGAGCTTAAGTCTCTCTCTCTTGTGAAATGGCAGTATTGCTTTGACTGGACTATCACTCAAAAGCAGACCAGGATTAAAAGCGTGGATCAGCATGCCTGGCCCCCAAGCCTAATTTTTGTGAATACATTTTTATGGTTCTTCACATACAACATTTATTACCATTGAAGGCGATTTGAAAGTAACAGATTTTAGAAAAATGAACTGTGGAATGAAAGCATAAGGGTGCTTGTCAGCAGCGGGGATTATAGTAAGAATGTCAGTGAGGTGCCCTGAAAGGAAAGCAGCAGGAGTCAGGGATAGCTCTGGAGCGAAAGGAACTGCTCAGGGCTTGTCACTTCAAGGTCACTACTGGAGTGTTTCAAGTGGCTCTGCAGGAAGTCCCTTGGCTGACAGGCAGGGATCTGTCCCGTGTCTTTTTGTTGGGCTGTGGAAGCCTCAGCAGGAGCATCTTCATAGGTAACCCTCCGTGTCTTTAAAACCGCCTTTCCCTCCACTGCAGTCACTTGGTTCTTCATGTGATTCACAGGTGGAAGACTTCATTAAGATCCTGCGGGAGGTGGATAAGGCTCTTGCTGAGGAGCTGGAAGACAGCTTCCCAAGTGTGAAGGCACAGACTTAAGACCCAAGTTGGAGTTTCTGCTGTCCAGGGAATAAAATTTGTGTTTCTATGGTTTGAAGTTGGCGTTTGGAAGATAATTTCAGACCATGACTTCCTAGTGCTACCCTGATGCCTGCCTCCTCCCCGGTTTATCCCACTTTTGTTTGTACCAGGCGCTAGAGTTTGACCACTGTCACCTCCCTCCCCTCTGCCTTGAGTATGTGTTCCTGTTTAGTTGAGGGAGAGGAAGTTCAAGCTTGTTGTCTTAGTTAGTTAACCCTTAGTTAGTTAGGGTTTTTATTGCTGTGAAGAGACACCATGACCACAGCAACTCTTATAAAGGAAGGTATTTAGTTGGGGCTGGCGTGTACAGTTCTAGAGGTTTAGTCCATTATCATCATGGCGGGAAGCATGGTGGCACGCCGGCAGACGTGGCGCTGGAGAAGGAGCTGAGAGTTCTACATCTTGATCTGAAGGTAACAGGAAATACAGCTGTGTGCCACACTGGGCATAACGTGAGCACGTGTGACCTCAGAGCCCGCACCCACAGTGACACACACTCCAACAAGGACACACTTACCTCCTAATAGTGCCAAGCATTCGCACACCTTCGTCTATGGGACCACTCCTATTCAGACCACCATGCTGGTCAAACCAGAGGTTTGTTTCCCAATGTTTGATTGGTAAGGATTGTCTTCATAACTGAGTTTGGCTTTTATCTGAGAACTTTGTGTCCGGTAAGTACATTTAACTAGAGCACCAGGAACCCCTAGTCTGGTGGCTTCTTCCAGTATCGTGTCTCCTGAAATAAGTCCAGGGACATCAGTACAGACTGGAGAGGTATCTGTCTCCCTTCCCTGTCCCGTGGCCCATGCAGACCTTTGCACACATACTTATTTGTAGCAATGAGGACTATGCTGTGTCTTCCATTCACATTTAGGGGTGAAAAGGGAGAGGCAAAGAGGCGTTCCAGAAGGTTGTGCCAGGCCTCTCTGACCGCCTCCGTTCCGTGTTGTATTTAAAATCCAGATCCTGCCCGCAGTCCGCAAGGAAGGTGTGACTGGCCTGAGAGCCCACCTGCTAGTGCACTGCAACCCCTCTGAGCATCGGTTGCGTAGACTCCAGACTGTTAGTGACAGCTCGGAGCATTGCTTGCTTTGCCTTGGTTCCACTTGTGAGTACTCTGCTTCACAGATGGAAGGAGAAACGGTGGCAGCTGGTGTGAATGCAAGTTGGCAAGACTTTTCAGCAGGTTCCCAGCCACTGTGCTTCCGACGGTGATTTGCTTGAACAGATTCTAAGTAAGATGGGGGAAGGCCGCATCCTCGTGGCCTGGCTCCCTGGTGCCTCCTCACTCTGACCAGTGTTTCCTCCCGCAGTCGACCAGGCGTTTTCTTTCAGTCTGCACTACTTCACACACTAACTGGAGTTCTTTCTCGTTGTGAAGAAAATCAGTTATGTGCAAGGAGGCCATCCCAGCTTTCCTCAGAATCTCTTTGAACTTACGGGACTGCTCTTCCTTTATACTGACTTCTCCTTCAAGGATTGTTGATAAAACACAGAAGATACTGTGTTCAGGGTACAGGAACTGTTTCCACTCTAGAGGCCTGTTTGCTGCTGACGGTGTTTCCGCTGGAGAGGACTGGAGAACTGAGTGCATCCTTACAGTCCCACTGACCGGCAGCTTGGCTTTACGTCTGCCTCTTCTTGGGCTGGCCATACTGCGCGTTGGAGGTTCTCAGGCTTGTCAGTTGGGCCAGCTCTCACAGTCCAGGCTGGCCTTGAATCCCGAATCCTGTCTCTTTCTGTAACTAAGCTTAGTTGTCAGCAGCACGCTGACGTCGCTCTCACTAATGCTAACGCCGGCTGTCACTTTCCCACATGTGGAAAATGAAGCATGCTGTGCGTGGAACAGTGCCTGGGCCTGTCGCCTGTTTACCATTGTGCACGCATGCTTCACGTCACTCTTATGAGAACACAAGGACTCCTGAGGGTGAGAGTCACAGAGGGAGAAGGAAGAGGGTGTGATTCGAGAAGGGCTGGCACACGGCTTTCTGCTTCTCCGTTCTGGCCAGCCCTAACTGTTTACCCTGTTACTTTCTTCGGTTGTGGTAATTTGAGGCAGTACAAACCTCACGTTGGGCTGATACACCTGAAAGCATACTTAATCTGTGAGTGTGAATAATGTGGAAGGAAATCTCTCAGTGCTAAAACCTGAGTGCCGTGTGATTCAGTGAAGCAACACAAACACAGCACGCTATGCGAGCATAAACATGAAACAAACGCAGCGCGCTGTGCGAGCATAAGTATGAAACGGAGAGCAGGTGAAGTATCCTGTGCTGTGCACAGGTGAGGAAAAGAGAGAAGTCACAAGAGGAACTTGAATTAGCAAGTGTGTGTGTGAATTCTGATACCTGCATTTCAGTTCAATTTTTACGGAGTCTGACCATCTCAGAAGACACATTCTCTTGCTTTTGTAAAAGATGTCTGTCCTGTACCTGGCAGCTGAAATATAGCTCCATGCTGGCAGGGTCTTTATCTATCTATCTATCTATCTATCTATCTATCTATCTATCTATCTAT